CAGCAGACTCCAGTGACGTTAATTGCTGATCAAAGGGTCAGATTATGCAACGGTTGTGCTTCATCTGCGCTTCCTGACCGATGCATCTCTCTAACTATATTTGATCCAATCTTCGACCGATTTCACATTACATCGAACAAAGTACTCGCCATACGGTCAAACGATATTTCGGCATTATGCACCAATAAGGTTGTACAGCCTCCCCTATGGATTTGCGGCTAGTTCACAAATCCAAAAAGCGCAGAGCCAAAATTATTGTTTCTAATTATTTGCCTTCCAAGGAGGTTCAGGTTCGAACTCGAATCAATTGGGTTATGCTTTCCCTTACTTTTGTAAATTTACAATAAATTTATTGTAAGTTTACGAAATGCTTATTAGCATCAGTAATATTAAATTAATTATTAATTATTAATTTAATAATATTGATTTAATAATGCGATATCGTTAAATGCCCAGCTTTGGAATAAACATTTGAATAAATAACATTTAATAATAACATTTAATAATAAAAAAACATTTGAATATTAATCAATACGCGCGCGCATGAGTTAAAACAAAAACAAACGGTATAAAATCCACAAAAAAATTATTATTAATTTTATATTTTATATTAATAATAATTTTATTAATAATAATTTTTAGCATAAAAGACTTCCACTAAATGTCGAAATATTCTTTTATTCTGTGTCGTATACATCGATTAATATGTATTTATTAACGTATCCACATTCTGTCTCCTTCTGTAGTCTGTTATTTGAATGATAATTTCTTTTCGCAGAAACGATTGATTCTTGATATTCATGAACACAATCAAGGGAAGATAAGTGGTACGTTCACATCTTCATTATCATGCGAATGTGAATTCGTTCCCTTCAAAAAATGAAAAAAAATATTCTTCTCTGAAACATATTCTAATTCAATTTCCGGGGTAAATTCTGGCATTATTGAATAATCGCCTCGAAGGTCGTAACAATTATTCGTCAACGAGTCTAACGCACAGTCCGGTCATATCGATATAACGGCGTGTAACGGTGCAACTTGAATATTTGACATTCGAAACTACCGTGCCTGTCATGAGCAGAAGCCCATAACACCGAAGGCGGAACTTGTTCATGCTTGTTTTAACCTGATTCGTCGATCGCACGAGTTTGACAGTCCTTGAGCACATGATCTCCTTTCTCTCTCAAACAAACAGAGATTGAAAATGACAGAGAACTAGTTAAACTTCTGTTAACTTTAACTAAACGTTTGTGGGAATGACGTAACACAGCGGGGTTGTCACAAATTCGTATTTGTTGTCATCTTCAACGAGTACAATCGCAAGCTCTAGCATTCGCGTAGGCAGATTGAAAGAACGCAATCAAATGGATGGAAGAAGCGTAATTATGATTTCAATTTTATTATTACATTACTATTAAAGAAAGAAAGAGAATTAGGATAATGATGTGAATGTGAAAGCATGGTTGAGCCATCAATGGCCAAGTTCAGCAGAAAAAGCAGCTTTGAAATTGTTGTAAGATTCTCTAATATGATTGGTTCATTATATTTAGATCCAGTGAGGAATTATATAAGAGCAAGAACCAATTATATTAAAAGATCTTACAATAGTTGTAAAGCTGCTTTTTCTCCTGAAGGTAGTCTGATGACTATATGGCGTTGGTAGCGAAGCGATGGTACCAAAATGGTTGAGTCGGCATTGGTTCGTGCAGCACAATAATAACGCGCGACAAGGAACATCCGTTTACTTCGTACTGTACAATTTTTCCTCTCCGGCTATTTACACCCGGGGGTAGAGCATCGCGACGTCGAGGTAAACCAGAAACCGAAGCGAGGGAAATTCAGAGGTGCGACGAGAGGGCCGGTCCCCACCCGAGCGCCATTATTGCGAGTACCACCGGCTTGTGTACCGCGGGATGGTGTTGGTAGACCGGGTGTATGCGGGACGGGAAATCTAGAGGAGCTGGAGATATGGCCGTGACCGCGCGGAATGCTTGGAATGTAGCCCGTCACGCTGCACCGGCGCAAAGCCACGGCGCGATCCATCGCCCTTTCGGTCCCCTTCCCATTCGATTCCGGTGTCCCTCGTCTTTTTGCCGAAGCCACCGGCGCAAACAGCGAATCAGTCTGTGCTCAAGCAAGCTAAAATAGCTCTTTCGAAGTCATGCCTTTTCTTCTTTCTTCAAATCTGCGTAACATTTTACCACGCGATGTTTGATCCACGGAGTTGATGCATGATCTCTTTTTGATTCGATACTTTATCTTGAAAATTTTCGCTGACGGAAACCTTCTGTCTGCGATTCCAGAGAGTACAGAGTGTCGCGATTTACCGCGGTAACAGCGGTACGATCACCGCGATCGATCAAATAGACCTGAATCAAAATGCGGTGAAGAGGGTCAGTGCCTGCTCGAGTCAACGTCCAGGATAGGGTAGAGCGGAGAGGAAGAAGAGTCGCCGGTGATGATTTCATCGCGCTTAAATTCCACCTCGGGGCGGGAATCTCAGGGCCGTATTTTCGATTCTCGGCCACGGGAACGGAGGAGGAGGGTCGAAGTCGAGGGATCCAGTCCGTGTCCGCCCACGACGCGATAAATTCTCCTCTATGACACGATCCTTTGCTCTTCGTGGTGAGCAAGCGAGCTTCCATTGCTTGGACGGTTTTCTTCACGATTTCTGTGAAACGTAGCGTTGATGGCAGGAACGTGTTCTTTCCTGCGATAAATTAGTCCTCAGATTTTCCCACGTTGTGGAACACGGTGCTCTACTTCATTGATAATATCTGCCGTTTTGCATCTTGATGCTTGGTGCACATTGCATATGCATATGCAGCTAATAAAAGTAACAAGAGCTGCTGAAAGAAGTTAAATAGAGTAGATTGAATGCATGGATCCTACCATGTTTTAAATTTTAAATCCGACAATTAAAATAGTTGCGAATAATCTGTGTGCAGATTATGATACTATATGATATTATTGATCGTTTATATCTTCAAACTGTTTATTTTGAACTTAAAGTAGGCATCAATAATATTGCACGAAATAATTGTACAATAATAATTGCACAAAAATTAAGCGACTGGGGATCATTCAATATAGGTGTTATTGTATTTCTTCATAACTTTTAAAAGGAAAAATTTCTATACATGCACATAGTGGTGAACCCAATATATTTAATCTAAAATGGAGATTCGTATGGCACTTATGGAACATCGGAAGAGGCCGTGCGTCCGGTACGCAATTATAGCTCAAGTCATCGCCTTACCCCGCGCGCAAACGTAATTGAAATATCTCGTAACTAGTGGAATCATTCGACCTGACCTCAAACCACAAACCATGAAATTATTCGAGCGAGCATTGCTGCGCGTTTTAATCCAAAAGCTCGACCGTTGCCGCGCCGTTGTCTTGCACGAGTGCGTATTCATTAAAACGCATTACTTTCTTGCATTATTTCTTTTGTTTCGCTTTTCTACCAAATGGCTGATCCAAGCGTTGTATCTCTACAAGAGGCTTCTGTAGCAAGGCGGGCGGTGAAAGCTCGTTGCAAACCAATGTGTAGCATCATTGGAAAATACAGCGCGATACGTTCGGCTTTGCAATCCTATCTCTCGTTTTTTGCATTTTCGTCGCTCGTACGCGGATTCCACTGGCGAGCCGTATTTCCTTGCTTTACGGGGCACACTGAAGCCAAGCTGGGATTTCCGCATCGCTTGCAACAATGTCGTAACAATGTCACGGGGATACATAGACGAAGTATGCGAGGCTAGAATCCGAGATGTATATAGATACCCCCGCGAAACGATTGAATATCTCCCCAGACGGTCTCGCCACGGTTTGCATCGTGAAAGGAAAAGTCAGACGGACGAGACGTTAATCGCCGCTTTCGTCCGTCTCCACGTGTGCGTATAATGCTTCTCTTTAGACTCTTAGCCCTTCGGTCGACCCGGTGTTCATTAATACGCATCGCGTCGCGGCTTTCAGCGGTGAAGCTTTCCGAAAGGAGAAAGATAGCCGACCTTTTCCCCATTTCTGGCTGTATATGTACATACGTTTGCGGGACCGCTTGTAACGTACGCGCGCCCACATGCAATCCATCTGCATCTGGCTCGCGTACAAACGCGAAGCGTATGCACTCAGGAGCTTTCTAAACGCGTACACGAGCGAAGTCGAGCGCCGAAAGCTTGCGGCTCTCCGCGAGTGCTTATTACACATTCAAACTTCGCTTTTGCGCTGCGACAGCGTCTGCTCTTCATCGTGCGGTCGGCCGCGCGTTTCTCCTCTACCGGCGGATTCGGAAAAATCCAATTGGCCCGACGATGTATTATTTTTTTTCTAGGCTTGCATTAAAGTTTACTTATAATGTTGCTCGACGACGCGAGCAATACTGTTTTCTTTTATACACAGTACTTTGACAGTATGACTATAGCACTAATTTGAGAATAGTATTCTTCTTTTTTAGTTCAGAAAACTTTACAATGCAGAAGAGTTTAATTATCTAGAAAAAAATACATTTCAAACTTTTTCGATTGTCTTACAATTATCATTGTTTGATTTAAAAAAAAATGCATAAGAATGAAAGTAATCATTTCTCACAATTTTTAGACGCTGAATACTGTGCTGTTTATGGTAATTTATTTGATAAATAGGATCATAATTTAGCGCTAAAAAAAACTACGGGAAACGATTAACTTTATTCTTCTGCTTGAAAAAAGTTATTCTTTGAACAATATATTTCATGTCACGTGAAATATCCAATTCTGCTCAGTAAAGTTTTAATCGTAAATATCTTATACGTAATTCGCGTATTTATTTTTTTCCAAAGAATCAATTACGTGTAACTAATTCACCTCGTGGAGCACAAGCACGGAAATATTCCACGTAATTAAACTGAAAGCAACGAACTGCGGCCACAATCGGATTGCGACGGTAATATTACGAAAGAAACAGCAAAATGCTGTGTTTAATAAAATTTGTGTCGGAATTCGAGCTTTCCTGTCTGCTTGCAGGCGGAGGAGTTGAACACCATCGTTGGCAATGCTTTCCGCATGGCGTACGTGGCGCAGCTTCAGCGCCAACCAATCCTTCAGGATGTAATCTCATCGCGATCGACACCGTCTTATCGCAAGGACAAGCAGGAGCATCGAACGTCGTGGGTATGTTTTGAACGTATCAAAATAATAGATTTGATCGTTTGAATAAATGACCGAAAAAATGCAAATTACACGAGACACAAAAGAATTGTTACCAGCGCACTTTGCTGGCAAATAAAAGGAGCACCGTGTAGTTTAAAGTGCTAACGAAGTCATTTATTTTTGCCGCTGTCAGCTAGCGAGTTAGTTGAGTTAAACTTTACAGGCCGGTTCAGTATCGTGCCATCTGCTAGTTTTCTCACAAAAGCGCCGTAGATTGCAATTAAGTAGTTTTAGCAATTAGCGGACAGTCAGTTCCGAGATCTTCTTAAAGATTACGCTTGTTGAGCTCTATCGCAGCAATTTATTTTGCCAAACAAAACAAATAGAGACATAGAAAGTGAAAAATTCAAAAAGATACTTTAATTATCCGGGAACGTAACAAAGAACGACTCAATCGCCGCGATCGTTATAACTTTTCGTCTCAAACTTTTCTTACAAAATGAATCGAAATCACTATAAGATTGTTTGTCCAAGTCGTACGATCGAATTCTTTTTTCCTGCCGCGCAAGCACAATATTCTGGAGGGTATTGGAGCAGATGCTAGCGTCTACTATATGCCAGGAAGCAGAGCAAATACACGTACCGGGATGCATATACACGTACAGCAGTAAGGAAGCTGCTGGAGAAGCTTCTCGCGGAAGAGCCTCTTAAATATCCAAGACGCGCGAGAGGAAAGGGACAACGACGACAACCGTGTCCTCTCCGTCTCACGAGGGCCACCGATTCCAGTAGGTGTCCCGTTTACGAGCCGCGTTAATTATAAATTCGACCCTAGTCTCTCGCTTACCGTCCCGCGTCGCGTCGCCTTGCGTCGTCTCGCGTTTCCAAGTAAACGGTCAGTCCGCCACGGTCCGCTCGATGGTCCCCGCCGCAAAATTGCCTTAGGAACTGTGTGATTCCGCCGATTAAATATTCAACTCGGGAGAATCTCGAAGAGACTGGATCATTCTGCCGACGGTTCTGCCTAATCAACGATTCGTCCAAGAGAGACCGAACCCTTGGATCCGCATTTAAGGCAATGATTGCGCGTTGGAGAGGAACCTCTGATCTTGAGGAAATAATCGGAGGTCCTCTTTAAGTACACGGTGTCGCGACGCGGGATGTAATTTTGGCAATGATCGCCGTTTCGTTTGCAGAACAAATCGCTGCCCGGAGACGACACGATCGCCGCGGGCGCTTGCAGGAGTCCGTCGTCGAACTCGTGGCTGAAAAGTCGGACGTCGCCCACCTCCAAGACTGGAAGGGGTCCGTCTGCAGCGGATATGAACGTGCAGCTCGGCAGCGCCGGCTCGCCCACGCTGCGACTCGCCAGCGTAAAGGTGATTTCATACAAGTGTAACAAATACGCCGTGAGCAGAGCTGTGGCCGCTATTATATTACACTCGGGCGCTATTACACGAAAGCGAATTAGTTAGCCTGGTAGCAACTTAGAGTAAATTAACTTCGTAGAACGCCGCGTCATCCCGGCTAGGCGACACGTATCTCTTTTAATATCGCGGCTCCATCCATTTCTCGCGTGACGCGTTTGCAGAACACGTTTACCTCGACAAGTGAACGCTTGGTCGCGTTTAAACGACGAATCTGAATAATTCCAGGCACCAAACACGATTCCGGGTCTACGGCCGTCGTTTACGAACGTTCTCGGTCCCATAACGAATGTGGACGAGCCGAAGAGCTTATCCCAGCAGAGCACGCCGAGCAGCGATGAGAGCAACTCGCCAACGGAGTTGAACTCATACAAGAGGCTAACGGACAAGCCGCCGCTGATAAAGCGGCTGGCGATGGGTTTGACAGGTGGACGCGACGTTCTTGGGTTGAACGGTGAGGATGACAGCTGCCCGCTCGTCAGCGGTAGCAGTACGCCAACCAGCCCATCGAACAGGCCCCATTCCGGGGGCTACATAAACGAAGCGATCATCGACTCGGAGGGTACGAGGCCGTCATACAACAAGATCCCACCGTCCGAGAGCCTCGATAACACCATCAACGCGTCCATCACTAACGTGAAGAATTTCAACATCGAGAACAACAGGTAAGTTTATAGCTGGACCGTTCTCCATTCTTCCCCCTCCTTTTGCCTCTCTCTCTCTCTCTCTCTCTCTCTCTCTCTCTCTCTCTCTCTCTCGCCTTTTCGGAAGTGACGAGGGATCGGTGCGAATTGTGAACGACAGCTCTTTCATTTTCAGGATAGGGCACAATTGCCCGGACTCGGGTACGGAGGTAGAATTCAAGTCGAAAAGAAGATCGCAAATTAGCACGTCGAGCAGTTCGGTACCCGCTGACGGAAGCACTCATGGCTCCACGCCAACCCCGCCGCCTTTACCCGAGAGAACAGACAGCCTGAATAATCGAAGTGAGGAGGCCGAGCTACGCAAGGCGCCCTGGTTTCAAGCTGGAATACCCAGGTTGGTCTCCGCGACATTACTACAATACATGACGGAGTAAAATACAAACACGCACACACAAGCTCGCGCTCGTGCGGTGCCTTCTCGGTGAGCCGAAATAGCACGTCGCCTCTGGCTAATTTTAAATATTCGTCGAATGATCCAGTCCATAGTCCAGTTTCCAGTGGCTACCTTTGTAAATGGAATACGCAAATCCGATTGTTTTCTCTGTTTCCCCGCAAGAAAAGACATCTTGTCCATTTACCATTAATGATACGAATCGTGATTTCAGAGAGATAACGCTGGAGGTATTGAGCCAAGAGCCGGAAGGAGCGTTCATGGTGCGCGAGAGTACCAGCAAGCCCGGATGTTACGCCCTCTCTCTCCGTGTGCCTCGTGAATTCCAGCCGAGCGGAATAGCCCATTATCTCATAATGCGTACAAACAAAGGTTACAAAATCAAAGTAAGTCTCTGTTTCTGTCTTCGACCATTCTTTGTCGAGTATCGAGTATCAAAGTAGTTGCAAACGGCTCGCGAAAGTCAAAGCGAATCTGCCGTTGGCCAGACAACATTCGCGTTCCCGTTAAAGATCTATAAAAGCGAAAACTAAAATCTGCACGGATTGCAATTTACTTAACGTTTCTCTCCGAGAATAATGCTGTTTGTTTTGATAGATGCGATGCTGTTTGTATTTAGAATCACGACGTTCTTAAACAGTTAAATGTATTGAAAACAAATTTCGCAAAGTGTCCACTATAAATTATACGTCAAAATATCAGCGAAAGTACAATGGAATCTGTTAGCTAAGTATAATAGGGACATTTTAATGGGATATTTTAAAAGGGACATTTAATGAACACGAAACAAATTCTGTTCGTTTTCTGCTGGCAATCTATTATCGGAATAAATCGGTATACGGAAAGAATTTACTAAATTATTTAAAAATTTAGCTGGATATTTAAAAATAATTAAAAATAATTTTGTTAGACCATAAAAGTAAGTTGATTGTTAAAATGTTAAAACTTTTTACAGCATTTTTCATTATGCTTGAGAGTCCAACATAGTCACACATAGTTATTTTGGTAGTCCAACAAAATTATTTTCGAATCTGTATTTAACTAAATTTTTAGATACTTCTGAAAATTGTTCTCTTGTGTATCTAACAGAACAGAAATTTAATATAATTGATGCCAATCGTGATATTCTACTCAAAACTGTTGGCGTACCAACATTTTGCTTACTGGATCTTTGCATTTGTACGAAGCTAGATGTCGGTTCTAGTGAAAGGGGTAAAACTCTTTTTAACGCTCGAAATAATACCCACGGTAGAGAGAATCTTCCTGTATAAGCGCAAGTTAATATTGAAATAAGCTACGCAAGATGCTAATGCGTGAAGGGTCGAAGCTTTTAGTAGTCTGAACATTATACTCAGAACTACTACGCCTGGTGCAAAGCTACCGCGCATTTAGCCATTCGGTATTTAAATGGTCGAACTTCCCCTTCTCGTAGGATAGATTAAATGAGTACGCGGACTTTGATAATCTCCGAAACCAGTATAAATGAGTTTTGTTGGATATGCCGCGGATGCCGTAGGGAAATCAAAACTCTGCTTTCTCTCTCCCTCGCCCTACGACGACGCGGAAAATTGCATCGCGCTGTAATAAGCACAACGCCAGATTCGAATGAATGCCGGTGTACGATAGCCCTGATATGCCGAGGTTCGTGTCAGCACGCCCGTATATGATACATTTAATATCATCTCGTTATGTGGCGTGTTTCGCAATACGACTGAAAACGCGAAGAAAGATCTCCGACCGACTAATATCGCATTTCATTGTCCTGCAACGTGTGCAACAATGCCCAGTAACATGATAATGTGCATAATATTGCATAATACAATGTGCGTATAATAATAGCCGAAACGATAAGCTGGTTGTGTTATTTCTGCGCTATTTATCAAACGAGTTTTTCTCTTTATTATTTTAACTAAACTTTTGAGCTCTGTTGAAATACTGTTGAAATTCGATTGTGACTAAATTATCTCCAGGCTTTTGGCTTGAAAAAATATTATATTTTTACTTTCTTTTTCATTTAATATTTATAATTTTTGTATGAACGAAATTGTTCCTGTATTTAAAAACAAAAGGTATTTAATTGTTTCTGCGAAAATATATAACGCGTAAAATGAATTCTATTTTTATTTTTCGACGGACTAAATAAAAACTATAACGTTTCGACAACGTTTACAGTTGCGAGAGAAAGCAGAATTATTACGAGCGAGATAACGGTGGGTAAACTTTGACAAGCGTTAGAATTAATGCCGATACAGTACTACGAACGCTGTAAAATCAATAATGTTGTATGTTTCAGGGCTAATTGCCGTGCCCATTGTCGCTAAGCCGATATAATCCGAGCTTCGTCAAGACTGACTCCAGCAAGGATTTCGCGGACATCGATTCGGACCCGGATTACAATACCCTAGCGGATTTTCGCAAAATGATGGCCGATCTGAATGTCTAGAACGATCGACAATGACTCTCTCTTTCTTTCTCTCTCTTTTGCACTTTTCTATGGTTTGTCGATTCATTAAAAACCAGTTGGAAGATACGTGAGGCACCGTTCGGTATATTTGTACCTGGATCGATTTTGTGCCATTGTATTGTATGTAAAAAGCCGACGTTATTCGCGATCATTATCCGCGAAGAGATTTTGCCTAAGGTAATCGACATCGGCGCAACGCACATTAAACGACGCTTAGTTAACGAATCTATGTTCCGGAAAGACTCGCACAGCCACCAGTGATACATACTCGTAAGTCATTAATAACGGTAAGAAATGTAGCGTAGATAATTTAATAACTGCTAGTGTTGTATACGGACGCGTGACTGGAATAGCGATTCGATTTTTTTGTATTACAGCACGTATGCCTAGCCAGATGTTAGTTTTAAGCATATGCTATAGCAATTGACGTCTGTCAAACTTCAATCGGAATAAATTATTTTCACAAAACGTAATATATGTTCAAGTGCTCGTTACGAAGATTATTATATTTTTGCGAGTTTCTCTACGTTAAACGGACTGTCGAAATCGAATTTTGTTATCGTTTGGATTGCTCTCGATAATTGCAACAATACCAAACGATTCGTATAATATATTCTTGTTATAAAACGCGTAATAGGTGTGTAATTGGAGCATTAAGAAGATAAAGGAATTAATTAATTCATTGCGAAAAGTTACGAATTTAAAAGCTTTCGAGTAAATTTTGATTGATTTAAAATAAAATTTAAAAATACAGTTGAAAGGACGTCAAAATGTTTTCAGAAAAAAAGGTGATACGTTGAAGGATATTGTTCTCCAAGAGAAAAATCAATAACTTTTTTTCGGGATAGCGTTATATTAAAATATTTTTCCATTTAGTTCCTCTCTCGATTGTAGTTTATTCACGGTGTCCGAAAGTGATCTAGTAATTTTTATTCGACTGAACAGTTATCTACTTTTTTGTAAGATGTAATTGAGGCTCGTGTTACTATCGTCACACACAACGTAAAATATATTCTATGGTTGCTCCGGAAGCGGAAAGGCTACTGTATAATAGGCAAATGCAATCGCTTCCTCCGTTTTATGATTGGACTTTATAGTTAATCAAAAATATATCTTTGAAATGTGAAAAATACAAGGAAACGTCACATATTCTATAGGTCCAGTTAAGTGAATTGAACCACTGAAAAATGTTCGAGCTTGAGAGCAAAGTCAAGATACATGGTCCATTATTGAGCCTGTATATGTCGGAGTTAGATTCTTTTGTTATCATTTAATCGCATTCCCGATGGTATATCGCAATCCGATGATACATCGGGGACCAAAAACGAAACAATATTCACCACAATTTCGATAAAAAGAGAAAAACATTTTGCTCTCTTTTAGTATTGAAAATGGAATAATTTTGATTGCCAATGTTTCAATTATTATCTCGTACAAAATAACAACAAAAATTGCTGATTTATTTCTCATTCCATAGCGAATGAAATAATAAGAAGTTATTGGAAAATATTCTATTATAATTTGATGAAAATAAGATAAATGTAGAATAAAACTGCAAAACGAGAATAAAAACGGCTGAAATATTTTTCGCTTTGATCCCTGATCGCAATATTGATGTACATGTGTTTATATGTATATATGTTATAATTATTCTCACTCGCGCGTTATATTTCCACACGTATATTTAATTAGTAAACGTCAAAGAGGATTAGTAAACGGCATGGAATCTTGGAAATGCAATTACGCCTAAGAGAGGACACAGAACTTCCTCGAAATTTCGACTCGACGAAACACGAATTATTGTAATAGGCGATAATTTAGTTTCTCAGCTATCCTAGTCTTGTACAGAAATTCGCGCATAGTTACGACAATGAAATCATACGACGCGTAAATAACTATCGTATTTAAAATAACGATTCTCAGCGTCGACCAGACACTAAATCGCACTTTTTTATATACCAGAAAATAATTTTTCGAGTATAATCACCACATATTAGCGATTCCTTGACTATTAAATAGGATGTACCAGCTACATCGAAATCTACAAACTGCCATCTCATTAAAATCATTCATTATGACCGTTATTCATTATCAAAAAATAAGAGTAAATATTAAGCTGCAACAGTCCCGGTGATTAAATTTTGATGCTATAAGGATATAAAGACAACATAGCGTACATTTTTGTAGTATTGAATATTAAATTTTCTAAAATGATGACGGTTCGATTCCTGAACGACAAATGAGATTGCATTATAATTTGCCGACAAGTATATATTCAAACTCGCATCTAGTGACGCATTGTGTTAAAGAAAGTTCTGATACATATGGTGCATTGAAATCATATGTATAATAGATTTCTACAAATATGAATCGATTGTGACTTTCTGCTTCTATAATGTGTCACTATAACGCGTTAATGACAATGCGAATTGCTAAAATTTATTGTAATAACGAAAGAATCTCATCAGAAATATCTGTATCTATAAAACACTTTATTACATCATAAATCATTTTTTTAACTGATAGCCGATTGCGTAAAAACAGTGATGTGTCTCATGTCGTTAATCTCATCGCACATGCGCGATCTAATGGATTGTGCAAAAATTTTTGAATAGTGTTTCTGGAATATCAAGTTAAAAATAACAAGAGAAAAATGAAGTGTTCGTATTAAATCGATTAATGCGTGCTAAGATAATCGCACAAAAAACAGCATAATTAACTGTTGTAATGTACGCTACGCATGACATTAATCACTGCTTTGTAATGTTTCATGAATTTTTATTATCGCAATGCGTTGTATAATGTCAAGAGAAATTATTTATTACAATAAATATAATACAAAGTATTCCTTATGACTGCATAACATCCTGTAGGATCCAACAGTACAAATTCAATGATTTAAAACGAGTCGCTAAATAAAGGTCGAAATGAGACAGATGGATACAAATACGTGCCGCTTCAGCTGTCCTGAGCCACAACATTCTTTTGTCTTTCTGATACAAACGATACAGTTCCCTTTTTGGAATGATAACGTCTATTAGCCTCCCTGCGAGATAAAACAATATTATAATACTATTCAAAAGTATATTGTAAAATTCAAATATTGCAGTTTTTCCATTATACTTACTTGCGTTTATTTTTCTCGCGAATTGTTCGTAATTCGGCTCTTGCATTATATATATGTTTCGGCACTTGTCTATGACGTGCAATTCGTCGAACTTCCGGATGCGTCGCGTACTTCTCTTTCAAAGCGTCATTGACAAGCAGTGCGTTTCTTTCTCTAGCTCTCAGCTGTTGAAATTAGGAACAGAGAGTATTATCGGTAATTTATGAAAAATTGCTCATAAATTCGTGAAATCGTGATATTTATGCTTACAATGCCGAGCTTCTCCGATGCTTTAGCCTTCCATATACGAAGATTCATTTCGTCGCTGCCGCTAATTACAAATTTGTTATCGAGCGACCATCCTACGCAGGTAAGTCTGTGCATGCGTCTTGTGTGATACACTTCTCGTGAGTGACCTTTATTCGCCTCGAAAATACGAATCGACTTGTCATAGCTGCCCGAAACAAATTCTTTCCCCGTCGGAGAATAATCCACATCTATCACGGCCTCCACATGATCCATATGTACGTTAACTGGCGTATTCATCTTGCGGGTATCATAGGTGTACAAACTAAAACAAATACATTTAAGATTCGCAAAGAAATTGCAGGAAGCTATCCTTTGATATTCTATTTTATATCTCACTTGTAATCTTCATTGGCACAAGTAAAAACAAAAGCTTCCATAGGATTCCAAGAGAGTTTGTTGCTGCGTAATTTCATTATTATCCTTGTTAAAGGTCCTGTTTCTCTAGTGTCGTATAAAATTATGCTGCGATCACTGGCGCACGAGGCTGAAAATTAAAATTAAATTTGATATAAAGTATATTTTATTGGTGTCTTATGCGCATACGGAATATAATAATCTTTCATCATACATTGTACCTAAAAGATCTTTTTGCACGGGATTAAACTTTATATCAAGTAGACTATCTACACCCCATTTAAATGTACGAAGTGGCTCATTACGAGTATCCTCCCACATTTGACATATTCCTTCTCCACAAGTAACAAATGTAGGGTTAGCTCGATGATGAGTTATGCCAGTTATTATTGTCTATGGACAAAGAAATTGCTTAAAAAGTTTTACATATATTCATATTTGGCAAATTTTAGGAAAACTATATCCAAAAGCTACATACTTTGTTAACAATAGTATTCACAGGTTCCTCGTCTTCACCAGCAGATACTGCATCCCAGGTTTTGATAGTCTTGTCGTCACCGACTGTAATGAAATGTTTCCCATCTGGCACATACGCAATACCGCGAACCATGCCATCGTGAGCAAACAACGTGCGTGTGCACGTGCCCAGGCTCAGAGACCATGTTCTCACTTCGCCGTCGTAAGCGCCGCTGAGAATTGTGGACAGCTGAGAGGGATGTTTGCATATGCAGGAAATCGCATCCTTATGGCCTTCTAAGTTGCCTATAAAAGGCTTCGCGAATACCTTTTCCAGCTTAACGGCATTCAGTGCTTTTGTGTATTCCCTGGCCGCTTGGAAGGGATGTAAAGAGGGATCGAAATTTCGTGGAACTGTAAACGACAAAAGATATCCGATTATTGCTATTTTTTTAGGTTATTTCCGCCGTTGGAGAACTTATGCGTCTTCAATCTCCCCTTGAAGTTATATGACTGGGCATTAATTATCTTAATGTTCTGTTGCCTTTTAAACAATTTTGCTCAGCTTCTTGGTATAATTGAATATAATTTTCATTGTTATATTCCGCACAATTAAGTTAGACCTGTAAATATCTCCGCGATTTACTTACTTTTGTGAATGTCTCGTTTAGTCTCTCGTAAGTATTCATCAGGATTCCTGCTTAACACTTTAACTTTCATCTTTAAGCAAGAATTAGCACACTTTTTTATCAAAATATTTATAAAAGATTATCTTTTCGAGCTCTTCACGTATTCATTCCTCCTAGGATGCGTTCCAAAATTCATTATATACAGTAGCGCAACTCTCACGATTTCACCGTGGATAAAAAT